GGCGCGCGGGGGGAGCGGGTCCGTGGGTGGCGCGGCGCGGGCTGCCCCGCCGTGGGCTCCGGGTGATTCCGCTGAGGGCCCGGGCAGGAGGCTTCTGCCTTCCTGGGGGTGGGACCGCTGGCGAAGACGCAGCCCCTTGCCTGCCGTCCCCGGGGTTGGTGTTTGCTTCGGAGACGGCTGTTTGGGTTTTTTCCTTCCTTCCTTCCTTTTTTTCCCGACCTTGGAGAAGACCGATGTGAATGAAGTAAGAGTTGTAGGAAGTGCCACAGTGGCTGCTTGGGGTTGGCAGCTGCCTGGCCTAGCGCTGTGCTGGGCAGAGCCGGCAGGGCCACGACCTCCTCCAAGCCCCTTGTGCCTTGGGGGTCCTCTCATGCTGCCCCCCTCCGGCCTGTTCAGGCGCTGGTGCTGTGCGCCCCGCCTGCTGCTCCCTGCCTTGCATCAGGCTCCCTGGTGATTCAGCAGCTGGAGACTTTTCCTTGTTGCTATTTGCTGGCAAAATATAAGTCTGTCTGATTGGTGTTTGGGAGTGAAATTGCCCCCAGGCCCAGACTCCTGGCTCTGCTCATGAGAGCCTGTTTACTTCTGCTGCTGCTTGTTCTCTCCACTGGGGCTAGAGAAGCTCACTTCTAAATTCATGGGTCCTCTTTAAAACTGCTCCTCTGACTGTAACAGCCCTCATCCAACTCCTTCCAGCTTCCCAGAGGGTGTCTGCAGGGCATCTTATTTAAAATTGGTTCTTGTCACACTTCAAAGTCTTTGTGTGGACAAAAGAGAAAGAGAGCCTATAAAGCCAAACTGCAGCTAAAGTTGGATTGTATCTTTGCAATCCAAACCAACAGCCCTGTAGGGATACTTTCAGCTGTGAAGAAGGGGAGTGAGGTCCTGCCTGCTTAAAAAGAGAAGTCATGCTCACCCCACCCCACCTTTTTAAATGCTCGAGGAAAGCAGTGTTCCTCATACCCGTGGACCACCACAGTGTTTCATAAGTGTCATCTGCTGTATACGTGGCTTTAGTTCAGTTTTCAGAAGGAAATTAAGCAAATGGGGAGGGGAACTGCTTTAGGAGGCAGGAAAACTCCTTACCTCTCCACACATAATAGGAATTTCATTAGCCACAGGCAAAAGCATGATTCTATAGTACTGGCTCGTGTGCATCACCTGTATTTGCTTTGGTAGGTGCAAGTTCTTTAGCTTGACCGAGACTCCTGAGGACTACACCATCATGCTAGATGAAGAAGGCTTTAAAGGTACAGCATAAGGACTTCTGTACGTCCCGGTTATAGTTCATGGTGACAGTGTATTTTATTTCACTGCCATATAACTACTGTTCTGACCCATTGTTTTTCTCCACTGCAGTGAAAACCCTGCATGTGTTTGTATAAGGTAATAGGGTTCTTCCCCCCCCCCCTCCTTCCCCCCCCAGTCTCGATACTGTCATTAGTTGTATGGCCTTTTCTTTTACATCCTTTTGTCACAGCATGCAGGGCTGTATAAATAACCTATAAGTCCTCTGACCTATTTTTTTGTTGTGGATGCTTATGTAGAGCTGTATTGCATGTTTTGTAGCTGACTGAACATGTTAATGAGGGCTTCTCTGGTATTAGCTTATTGTATATGAGATGCACATAGTTTCCTTTTTAAATATTTGCAAGTATCAACCAGCTGTAGAAGGTGCTTAGTGCTTCTCAACTTAATACTTGTCAGGGGAGGCTTCTATACATTAGTAAACTCTTCAGAGCATGTGGCAACATCCAGACTTGGAGTTATATGTCCCTGAAGAGGAGCTACTAGCTTACACTGCTGGAAAAGTTAACATCACAACAGAACATTACTGGCTTTCTTCTGGAAGCCAAATGGGTACTTTTGGTGTAGTCCTGCCAAGTTTACTTTGTCATAAGCAAGGTATGACACCTTCAGACTCTTCATAGGTAATCCAGTAAGTGGTAAAACATGCATGGAAAGGCCGCAGGAGACTTTGCTGTAGCACAGGGGTCAGCAACTCTTTTAGGCAGAGTGCCCGTGGCAGCCCATCCTTGACTTGTAAGATGTTGGCATGCCAGGGGCCAGATGGTGGGGCAGCTGTGAGGGGCCTGATCCTTGTTTTGGCAGTGCAGCTTGGCCCCTTCTCTGCTATCTGCCCTGAGGCATGTGTGTCAAGCAAAATGCCTTTGCATGCCATACTCTGGCATGTGTGCAGGGGTTGCAAACCCCTGCTCTAGCAGCTGCTGGTAGTTTTTTTGCCGAGACCTGTTAAAAATGCCAGTCTTGCAGCGTTCCTAATACAGCTGAAGTAGTGCTGGGAAAGGAGAAATGCTGAAGCTTCTCTAAAACCGTGGTGGGGCTGGGAGGAAGGGAGTAGCAGTGGAAAGAGAAGGATAAGCAACCCGTAGGGAAGCTTCTGTGCAGAAGCTCTATGGTGGAGTAGAGAGATGGTAGCCTAGCTACCATAGTAGGGTCTCTTTTATGCTAATATGATTCCTAATTCTGTCTGAAAAGATGTGCTGTCCTTGGCATGTCTTGGGATGATATTCCTGAGCCTGTCCCTCTTCCCCCAACTGCTTCTGCTTACACATATGTAGCCTGGATATGTGGTAGGAATGCTGCTTGAGGGGCACTTCCTCCATGCTGTTTCTTGAGACCAGCATCTGGGATGATGCAGGGACTGCTTCACTACCCTATTTCCAGGTTTGGCATGTGTGGGTAGGAGTGAGCGTGCATGGGAGTTTCCCTCCAAGTCACAGGAGACCCAGCATAGACATAGCCAGAGTAACTAGTAAATTCTCTACCTCTTACTCTTGTTTAAAATAATATAAATGATAATGTGTGAATCTCTAGCTATGGATACCATTCAGTACTGGGCTGTCATCACTGTCACAGCAAACCAGGGAGGGCCTGCTGCCATGCATGAAAAGGAACCTGGCTGGTCCTCCATGCCCATGATATATGGTGTTCTTTAGTATTTGGCACAGGTGTGACATTGTCCCAGGACACACTGATAGTATATCTGGGGAGAAACTGGGGGTCCAGGAACCTATTGTTTCTTTTACTTATGTCATGTGGGTAGCTAACCTGTTATACTAGCCAAAAAGACTCAGTGAAAACTACCAAGATGGTTTCCCTCTTCTTCCAAACAAAAACAACTGTGGGTTGGGCAATTTGTTCCTATGCATAGATTTGTACTACTTGCTGGAGGCTTGTCAGAGGTGAAGGGAAGGGACCCTGTAACTGCAACTATGTGTATTTATGTAACTGCATCCAGCCACATGGGTGGTGCTGGGGAAGGTGAAGCTGAAATAAATCTTGGTGTTGTAGCTTTCTCTACATGTGCAACATACACATGTCCAGTGAGTGAGGCCTCTGACCTGTCAGAGGCTGGGGCAGATCTCTTTGCAAACTGGATGCATTTGATTTCCCACACCTGTGCCTTCCTGTTGAAGGACAGCACAGGCTGGCACAGAATGAAATGAATCTTTTTGGATCTGGCCCAGAAAATGTCACTGACCTGGATGCTCGGCTCAGGTTTGCTGCTGCTGCTTCCCAGCTGCAGCACATGGGTGTGTCGCACTTGGTGCTGCAGGCTAGACTGGGTCTGATGGCTTTGCCAGTTGGCAGCAGTTGACAGTGGTTCACATAGCATAAATCTGCTACTTGGTGTTCATACTTGAGCTCCTAACCTGTTACAAACTCCCCATATCTGCTGAGGTTGGTCTGGGATCTGTCATTTCAGTGCATGGGGTAGTGTGTGGTTCAACAGAATTTTACCTTGAAAGTTAAAGTTGCTATGATACAAAAAGCTTTAAGACTAGGCTTCTGTTGTCAGTCTTAGTGTAACAGCTTCTCAAAAACTGTTTGTTTGTTTTAATGCATTTGTATATAGGAGAAAAACCCATGGTGGGGAGGAAGAATGCAGAGCAGTGAATTTGAGAGGAGTGTTACAGACTCTGCTGGATTACTCTTTCTATTCCAAGCTGTAATTTCCAGCAAAGTAAAAACTCTTTAGTGGGTTGTTATGAAGCCAGCCCATAGAAGTACACGGAAGCAGCCACATGCAGTGATATAGCTGTACAGTTTGAGAATAGCCATGAAATGAGCAAATGAACTAAACTAAATGCTGTGAAGTTTATAGTATGTCAGACAAGGACCATGTTAAATCATAGCCACTCTGTTGTAATTATTGCAGCCTTCTGATGCAGAAGGATTGCTCAGGAGCTTACATGGTGCTGCTTAAGCTAGTAACAAGCTGGTGTCAAGGACTCATGTGCTTGTGCAGTATGAGTACCTTAGTAGTGCCAATGCAAAGCCCTACACCAGCATTGCTGTATGGCAGGATGCATTTCCTTAGTGTAGACAGGATCCTTAAACAGGGGTTAGCCACGTCTGACCCATGCGCTCGATCTGGCCTGTGCAACCCGAGGGCATTGCTTATGCCTGTGCTGGGGCTAGGCAGCGGTGAGCTGTCCTGGGGCTAAGCAGTTAGAAGCTGTACCTTAGGGGTGGGCAAAATGTGGCCTGGGGGCCAGATGCAGCCTGCTAGGCCATTCTTTCCAGCCTGCAGGGCCCCTAAAAAATTTAGAAAATAAATATTAATCTGCCCTGGGCTGCCTGTTGTGCGGCCCTCGGTGGCTTGCTGAAACTCGGTAAGTTGCCCCCTGCCCAAAATAATTGCCTGTCCCTGCTATATCTGCATCATGGCTGCTTCCCCTTGGCTGCAGTGTAGGTGCAGCTTCCAGCTAGTGGGCAGCTGAGCTGGGGATGGGTAGCTTCCAGTTGCACCCATACTGCAGCCAAGTGGGTAGAGTGCAGGCAGGGTGGCAGGGAGAAGGAGCAGATGTGCTGAAGCAGCTGGAAGTTGCACAGCTCCTTGCTGGCTAGAGGCTGTGCCCATGCTGCAGCTGAGGAGCATGGAGCAGGGAGAAGCAGAAGTCTGGGTGCAAATTCCAGCTTCCCTGTCCCAGCACAGCTCCCCTCTGTGGCAGGGGCTGGGATAAGCAGTGGTGATGCAGACTTGGCTCACAGCTGTCTGGCCTAGCAGTGCATCGATAAAGATTTTCTTGGCCAATACTGATAGCAGATTGATTATTAACCAGCCATATTGGCCAATGCCAATCCAATATTCGATTTCCAGGAATGTAGCTGGGCAGCTCGGAGAGCAGCGCTCTGTTGGTAAGTCTGTGCAGGGGGGAAGGGGCATGGGGGAGAGAAAAGGCTTGGGGAGGGGAGCAGATTGAAGCCCCTAGGGTGAGGGAGGGAGTGGGGCTGGGGAAAGTGCTGCTCAGCCAGGGTGGTGAATGGGACCCCAGGGCCAGGAGTGGGATGGAGCTGTGGGCAGCTCGTCCAGGAGGCATGGGGAGGAGGGGTGGCTCCCTGCTGCCATGCACATCCCCAGCAGAAGCATGGGAGGCATGTGCTCCCCAGATGGGGGGAGAAGGGGGCTGTATGCTTGGGGCTAGGAGCTGCACCAGCCTTTTCCCAGCAGGGATGCTAGGCTGGGCTTGGGGTGGACTTAACTGTGTGGGGTGGGTGATGGCAGTGCTGGGAGGGGAGCTGTGGGGGGCCTGTGGGGAATTTTAGGGCAGCTATAGCCCTCCCTAGTGCCATCCCTGCCCAGGGCATGCCACTCTGTTGCCTTTTCCTTGAGCTCTGTGCTGGTCCCATATGGTGCTTCTGAGGGAAAGGCAGCAGAATGGAGTGCCCCAAGCAAGGGTGGTGCTGGGGGGTTGAGGGGCTATAGCCACCCCTCCTATGCTACTGCCACCTGCCCTGAGCCCAGCCCTGACCCAGCTCCCCTGCCAGGAAGAGGCTGGCGCAGCCACTGGCCCCAAGCCTGCAGTGGGCAGCCTGCCATGGAGGTACATGCCCCCCATGCTTCCCCTGGGGATGCACACAGCAATGGGGAGCCACCCCCCTCCCACCCACCTGCACCCTCTGGATGAGCCACCCACAGCTCCATCCCACTCCTGTCCCTGGGGTCCCATTCACCACCCTGGCTGGGCAGCGTCTGCCCTTGCACCTGCCCCACTCCTTCACTGTGGGGGGCCTTGATCTGCTGCCCCATGCCTCTTCCTGTCCCCCCTCCACCCCCACAGACTTACTGGCAGGATGCTGCTCTCCAAGCTGCCCAGCTGCATTCCTGGCCGTGTGTATGCTTGTGGCTGTGCACATGCACATGGCATTTATTGGTGACATGATCAGCTACACAGGCCAAAAAAAGCTGATGGTGCATAGTTTTCCCTTTATTGGTTCTGAT